AATATTAATTTTCTTATTTGGGAGTGGTATCCTTACTTTCTCTCTATTAATATTTCTCTATCTCGCATATCTAACAGATCTGATATTATAATCAATATCAGCAAAAGTAGCACATTTACATTGTGATATGGTTGAAGGTGTCATGACAGTATTCTGCCTTTAAGTCTACAGTGCACATTGAAATGTTATTATCTGTGTATTTTTGCAGTGATACCCAAGGCTCGTAGTGAAATATAGTGGTATCATTCAGCCACATTTTGCGATATGTTCATTTCATCTAGCGAAAAAAAACTCCATAAAGTTCTTGATCCCATGCATCATTATCATCATGTCGGGCGACTAGCCCGGACCGAGTCCACTCTCTCTTTCCAGTCATCTCTGTCCGCCATCTTGTATAATGTAAAGAAATACATGTATATGTACGTTTTCACACAGAAGAACACAACTCCCAGCTAGGTTTGCTTTTTAACTGGTGCCTTGAATCTACATTTTCATTCTCAAAATATTGTTGGTATCGCCCAACTTGCTTTCAGCAAGGGCGCAAGGTGCAGAGAGCAATAGAAACGTTTTCTATCGGTACGCGATAGAATCCTTAGACTTAATTACCTGCATTTTCGCAATATGAGTTACGTTGATTGTTTCAAGAACACACATAAAATGATTCAAATGGCCGGGGATGCAGAGGGTCACTAACGTAAAAGCAACGTCTTTGGCGTTTGTCTCAGGTGGGTTTCACCACGTTTGTTGTTAGACAGCTTCCATTTCCGGACAGACACCTTCGCGATGCAGACGTTTGCTCTTCAAAAGGAGTACAGTGATCTCCTTCACACAAGTTAAGACGACAAGACCGTGCCAACTATGTGCTTAACGCAATTCAGCTATTTTGCAACAAATACGAAGAAGACTTTCACTGTCTCTCGGACGGAGAAACAGATCACAAGGAATTCACGGATGTTTAAGTTACCCTTCCTCAACGTGGGGTATTGCCCTGAAGGAATCTAGTTCACAATAAACATCAGTTGTTCAGGTCATCTGGTAGGACGCCACGTTACCTTACTTGGTGTGCGCTGTTTTGCCCAGACGATATATTAGTCTGAACGGATCCATGATTTCTCTCTTGGGACGTCGGTCTGCCTTTATTGCACTGCAATACGGACGTGACTACGATGCTAACAACCATCGGTTCTGCAATCTGCACTGGTCAAGAGCTGCCTGAACCAGCACGATAAACATCAACGAGCGAGATCTGTCCATCATGTACTGGTGGTTACAGCCATGTAGACCTAGAGTTTACGCCTTCAGATTTTATCAGAATGTTCCGCACAGGTGGACTGATAGCTATGTGAACAAATATGGAGACAGGAACATTTGAAATGTTTGTTTTAAGACATTTAGCTTTCCCGAGAGGTTTCATATCGTATGTACGTACTTATCTACGAAACAGAGATATTCGCACATAATTTCAGGGAAGGAAAACACAATTTGGCGGTTGCTACATTTATTGTTTTCTGAGATAGTTCCTTACTTCGCTCTGCTATGCTGGTTACATCCCATAGTTGCTACAAAGACATTAGCGGTCTCGTTGTTTTGGATGATGGCGAAGACTCAGTGAGTTAGTTTGTTGAATACGGATTGTCGTGTTACCACATTCTGCAGTGTCACCACTGCAGGTCATCGCCATCAAAACACAGTAAATAAGCCTGACAATCCCTAGTACAAAAGAAAGGAATAAACAACACATAAGCGCCAGCGCCCAGTGAAGACCGTCTCTCCAGGTCAGTGGCCCTGCCTTACCACCGCGGTCCCCTCTCCCCAAACAGGACCGATTCTTCCTCAGTCCGTTGTTTATCTCGATCCATGTCACTCCACAAACGTTATGCTGCTTGTGTCACGGACTATTTGTTCCTGTGTAGTTGACCGTACTAAAGACCCTCCACTTCTGTCATGTCAATAATAAGGCAGGGACAACTCCGGGACAGATTTAGCCGCCCGGCCTGTCATCGCTCAACTCTAAACAGCTGATGGACCCAGACGCGGGCACTTGTGTTGTCTAGCTGTATTTTAGGCTCGTCAGACTTGGAAGGAGGGATCATATGACATCGTCTATTCACGAATGGATACGACATGATACGTTTATGTGAATATTATCTAATGGAAATATCATTCATAATGTAACGGCGACTATGTACACTTTAGTAGAGTTTGGTCGTCGGTGGACAGACATAACTTAATGGTACCTTAAATCATTTCCACACTGAAGTGTACATCTTGCCTTTGAGAGAAGATTTATAACAGAGTTGAAGTGAAAAATATTAGGTTAATTCATGATAACAAATATCAACAAAAACGACATGGACCCACTTGAGCAGTAACCTACCAAAACTATCATTGGTAAATGTAGACAGAGAGGCCGGGCAAAGCAATCCATCAACGTTTGGGAATAATAGCAGAGAATAGATAAACTGTGAACAGACTGGAATTCCAACTTGGAATTGTGAGACATTGTACAACTTCAGTCTATTCACAGTTCATCTATTTGTTTCACCATTGCATACACTCAAATGAAAATTAAAAGGGCTACAATTTGAATGCCAAACACGTATACATCTGTGCTTGCTAGTAGAACAGGCAGCTTATTTACGGTACTATTAATTCAAAACTTGTAGAATCTCTTTTCGAATGAGCAAAATTGTCTTTTGAATGGCCAATTTTAAAATGGCCGACCGTCTTTGCGTCAAGCTTAGTCTTGCAGCCCTTCCTAAATGGATGGTGAGAAAATTCTGGCAGGCAAGGAACAACGTTAACCTTTATCAACACTATCTGTAATCCTAGTCTGCATGTCTATGATGGAGACACGATAGACGTAAAGTTCAAAGACACATTACCCTCTCTACCCCAGCAACCGCTAGAACATATGGCTCTCTTCAATTGTACCTGGAAGAGAAAGGATCGGGAAAGGCCAGACTTTTTGGAAGCTCTGTTCTTGGTAACATTGATATCTTTCTTTTGTCTGCAGTCAGTTCGACTGTGCATATGTGCTAAACATGTGTAGCAGATTTGTGGAGATTCACAGATTTGCACAAACATGAAACATCTAATTCTAGTACAGCAATGAAAATCGACAAATATTTCCACTTGTTCTTTTTATTTTTTCACGTGTTACGTGTACTTCAATAATTTCTGGCATTTGAAATGGTTAAAATAGTCTATGTTGGTCTTGGAGAGGAAACATAGGGAAAAGTTCCACGACCTCAAACTTTGCCAGATACTGTTAACCTTTCCGACAAACAAATTATAAGTGTTGTTCATCGATTATGCGAATAAGACTTTCATTTGCATGAATTATAGCATTGATCATATTCTCCACCCGATGAGTCTTATCTTAACAGAGAAAGCTATTCTTACATTTCCTCATAAGTTATGCAAATGACGTTCACATTCACTTATATATCAACTTCCAAATGTTGTATGAAATTCCCAGTTCCAGAAAAAGCTCCTAGGGGGCAGAAATTAACGTGCGTTACTTCTTCCCAAGTTACTATCTAAAATTCGTGACCCTAGCATGTCCAGATCACAAGATATCAAAACCGGTACCATACCAAGCCGCCTGGTGCCCTAAAATCTAATCATTTCGAGGTCTCATCAAGTTTCATGACAATCCACCTATAGCTTCTCGAGTTATCGTGCTAAACTACATAACGGTTACACACATACATACAGGCATAACATGGTACATGGGCTCATACGTTTGTGAAGATTAGTCGCCCAGGTTTATATAATATATCAATAAAAGGGTGTTTCAAACTTTACCAGTGAAGAAAAGAAGACGAAGAGTGTCGGACAGACACTTGATACGTCTGGTAATAAATCCTCAAATCCAGTGGTAAAGTTTGAAACACCGTCATTTATTGATGTATGGCCTCCTTACATACATACATACATACATACAAACGCTACCAAAGACATATCCTTCTGTCGAAGGGCATAACAATGCACAGTACTTCCATTCCTAGTGCATGGACTGAAATATAATTACACTACACACCCTCAACGCTATCTGTAAGGAAAGTAGCAAATTTAGTTGAAAGGATTAGACAATTCATAGCAATATTTAACCTGCACAAGGAACGTTTAAGCCTCTTGACCTACCTGAACAAATATTGTTGTATTGCTGCCAGGTTACGCAATGACTGATCAGGCCACTGCGGTACGTACACAGACATGGCCGCACTCAGCAGCGCTCCCTATTTGCTCACTGCTGCCTTGCAGTTTGGTTTGCACTTGACGTAAAGCGAGTTAAGAAGACTAGATGAAAAGGAAGTTGATGAGAATTGTCTCTTTTCTTTTCAAGAAGCTTAAACGTTAAAAAGCTCTTGGGCTTTCCATTAATTTTACGAATGGATTATCCAGTTATTTCTCTACAATGCCCCTTATTTAACAGTTTGAACTTTCAACGTTAAATATAGTTTTAGTAAAAAAATGAAAATCACAGAATATCATTTTGCATTTCGAATTCTGTGACGTTCAAGCGCTTTATACAACTGACTTCAAAAGTCTTGTTGAGTACATGTCGGTCTGTACCATCTAACGTAAGTTACACAACACACGCTAGTCTACGTATATACTTCAAACTAGTTTCCATTCCGTATGTACACAAACGTAACTCCCACTTGTGTTATTTCATGTTTTATATGAACCTCCGCAACATTAATTTGCATTAGCCTCATCATGGCCTCATCATCCCGACCAGGCAAAAGATTAGAGCATACCATTTTAATAGGGGGGTGGGCTCTTGGCCACTTTGAACAAAAATTGCACTTGGTGCTTCTGTGCTATCATCATAGTTCGTTTTGAATACAGTAGAGAAGATTGGATTGTTGTACCAGGTATAGGATTAAGGGTTTCTATTTGGTCTCATTTCTGGTGTATGTGGGTATATGTGGAAATATATGTGAAACACACACCATTCCGTATCTCGCATTTTGTGCCGTTCCGTGTTTTCCAGTAACCCTGCGCAGCTGTGCGTTTGACTCACGCATGGGAAAACATGGCGGCCGCTCCGTTGTTGCTGTTTATGGAAACTTGAACACCCGCACCCTGCCTAAAAATAGCTCCCACCCCCACCAGTTGTACCGTCATGAAAGCTGCATTTCTCCTCCCCTCACCAGGGACAGTCGGGCGACGTTTGTCGGGATAAATGTCACAGAAACGGTGACGGGAAAACGTCGCATGTAGCGGGTCTGCAGCGATCGTCTGACACTTCCTGCACGTTTTCTGTCGTCTGCAGAGTTCTGTGTTTTTCCCGCAAATTGTCGTCTGCTGTGGGAAGGACGGCGTTGGATCGAGCCACGCGGCTCCCGGAGGACTGCTGTACTGATGATCATGACGGTAGAGAGAACTGAGAACGCTGCGGCTGTGGAGCAGCCGGGACAGGCCGGGGCCCAGGGGCACGCTTCGCCCGGGCACGGGGTCCAGCAGCCCCGCCAACCGCATCGCGAGGCAGCACCGGCCCACCAACAACATCAGCACCAAGCAGCGGCCAACGCGCAGCCAAAACTGCAGACGGTAAACTTTGATGTCTCACCATCTTTGCAACACATTTATTTTGCTTCAGGAAACGCTAATCTCTTTAGGAGGCAACTATTTGTTTCTAAAAATTATGTTGCTGAGGTGGAGGGGGGCGAGGTTATGCACTCATATGTCCTCGGTATTGACCTCGAACATACGTATTATGATTAGCCTTGACGACTAAGGGGGCTCTTTATATACAGCAAATATATAAAAGAGTCGCTACGTCCAGTATTATGATGTGCTTCATATACACAATATAACATGCTACATTAGTTTTAATACGATGAACAAAAAGAAAAATTCTACAGTAAAGTGTCTATTAAAAAGTAAGGTAACATGATTTCTCTGAATGGTAGATATTGTGGAAATTTATCACAACGTCATTAGAAACAAACTCAATGGTGTTTAGTGAGCTTTTATTAGACACAAGTACTTGACCCTTGGACAACTTTTGAGGACTCTGCAAACACAGTCACTGACTGTAGAAATTACACAACATCAACATGTTACCTACTTTGAGTGCCCTTCAAATGTTTGATAAGTAACAAAAAATTACAATACTGTTTATTTCTTTCAGTACATGTACTTCTGATTGTAGATAATTCAGATGTTACATGGATGTTAAATCATATCATTGCATAGCTGTCAGTTAATACCTGAGTGATAAGCAATATGCAGCAAGAAATGTCCAGAGGGGGTAAATGTCTGTCAGGAATTTAGAGTCACGTTGCTCAAAATCCATTCATTCATGGAAGATATGATTCTAATAAAATTGCTAAGGTCAGAAGATATTATAAGAATTTATTGCATTGACCATTGCATTAATTTTCTAAAACAGAGCTAGTCACAATGCTAGCACCCGCCTTGACCATTGTGATTGAACGCCATCCCTGCAGCATCTTTAGTTGTTTTTATGTGTACAGAATAAAAAGTTGTGTTTTCTTTTCAGAATGAGATGATTCTACAGCAGCTTAGAGAGATCACAGGTGTGGAGGATGTCCGAGCCCCTGGACCATGCCTACCAGGTACTGTCACTGCTCATTGTCTAAACAGGACGGTTCAGGAAGAATTCTTCAAGACGTTTTGAGCAGTCAATCAGTCATGACAAGTCAGATGCCAGCAGATTTAAGTTTACTGCTATATTAGGGCGAGGCACTCAGTTTGGTCCTAATTACTTCTGATAGGTGGAAATGTTGGGTCATGTTTAGGCATTCCATGTAGGTAAAAGTTTAACACCAGTCTGCTTACAGTTTGAAAGGGAGGGCTGAGTACATTTTCAGATTGGAATCATTAATCCAGAAATTTCTGGTATTTGTGATTTATCTAAATGAAGAAAGGGTGATGCAGGATTTGGGAATGTATCAGAAGTTATCATTGAAATGTATGGCAAGAATTTTTCAAATTCTTCCTTGTGTCATTGTACTCTATATCTTAATTGTTTATGTCCACCTGTGAAATGTATCTTTACCTCCCTCTTTATGTGCCTTGTTGATTTAACCAATGAATCATTTTTACCAGGAAATGATAAAGAAAGTGGACCTGTTAGGCATTTCTTATTGGTATTAAAGGAATGATTTGTGGATTATAAAAAATCAAACTTTCCTCATGTTTGTTCCCCAGGCTGGCAAAGGTGACCTTGCAGAGGTTGTGTCCATCCTGACCAATCAGAACGTGTCTCTAGTGACCAACCGGAACGATGAAGTTGTGCAGGTACAAGTTCAGGTATGTATCTTGATTGGTCACTCATTTTTAGTTTACTACCTTGATGAATAATTTCATTCTCAATGGTTTGTATGTTGCTTGGTAATCGGAATAGGATTTTATGACTTTTGCCTAGGCTTTACCATAGGGAAAATGTGATGACAGTTTTGACTCCCAGGCAGGTTCCATTTAAACTGCAGTAGTTGTATGTATTACAAACTACTCATTTCAGTAACATTAGTTGCCATTTGTGGAGAGGATGTAGGACTCGGGAGCTAAAATAGTTTTGTAACCAGGCTAGCAAATGAGATGTCACAGTCGACCAATTGTCTACCACAGAGTGGGAAAGTGTTGAAATTGTCATGAAATGGTGCACATCATCAAGCCTTGCTGATTTTTTAAAAGTCTTCTATCTAACCTCATATCTACAGAGAATGTCATTTGTGAAACATATCAGTGAACAGGAAGGTTTTTGTGTCCACAGGTTCGTAATGCACAGCGCCCATCAGGGCAGGCAGGCAGGCCTGATGGCAGGGCAAACACACAGGAACCAGGTAATGGGACATGGTTGTCTAATTACTGTAGAAGATGTCGCACAGAACAGAAATGTGATCATTTTCAGTCAACTACACTGTAGCTTATGTTCAGATTTCATATAAAAGCCTCTCCACAAGTCCTGCATTGAAAATATTCCATGAGAAAACACTACTGTCAGTTACTTGGACCAGGGAACATGAAATGACATTGTTAGTTCATCAGTGAGTCTGTTGTCTGCAGCTGGGGTGATTGACCTGACAGCTGACACAGAAGACAAGGATCAGGAGGACCTTCAGCGGGCCATCGCCCTCAGTCTACAGGAGGCACAGACAGCCAACACTGCAAACAGGTTTGTTTGTTTGTTTCAAATTTCTTACATGCAATGTTCTGTCAAATGTCACATAACTAATTCCCTTACAGTATTACCCAGCCTGGCCCTCAAATGTACAGGAAAACAAAATTTGCACTTATGTATACAATTGCATAAAAGTGGGTTATTTGGGGTCATTTTCTTTATAATTAGTTGACCCACAAAACCCTTGGTTAAAGATCAAGTTGCAGAGTGACAACACAGAGTCATTCAATGCCAAGCCCAGAGTACTTGATACTACACACGTGTCCTGGATAGAAATTATCAAAGTATAGGCTGACACAAAATTCAACATTTTCTATAGTCTATATGGTGATGCTAAGTAAAGGGTAAGCTTAAGACTGACTGCGATCTAGTTATGATGTCAAAAGTACCACCAGACAGCCTTGGGATTTGGAGGTTTATGAATCAAGCCACTTAAACTGCAGATGATGTAGATAGGACCAGATGGAGGGATCTGTTTCAGTCAGGGTCTCCAGCAGTAACATATGAGAGATGGCATCCAGCTGCTCCAGTTTGTCATAACGCATCTATTTATGTCTTAACCTTGACACACATGTGCATGCAGTGATAAGTTTTCATTTTTACTGTAGCAGAACAATATGGTAGTCCAGGCTCCTGATATACATACTGTCAGATAATAACTCATGGGCAGGAGTTATATGCAGGGCTGTGGTATTAGATTAGATATAATGACCAGCAGCCTGTGAAGCTAGAAGAGAATGATCAGGGATGGACCATGATGTGTAGTGGGTGGATGAAGTTCAGTAGAATGAAAAACAACTCCCTGGTTTGAAAGGAAGAAATATGGTGTAGAAATTTATTATGAGAAAAGTCGAAAAAGACAGAAGAAGCTCTTGACTTGAAAGAAAACAGCAACATTGTCATCACCCTGCCTGATACTTTTCTGGTGAAATATAACTGATAATCCTTACCTCTGGTTGGTTGATGACAGACCCCAGGGTGAGTGCAGGCCCAAGAGGAGAAAAAGCAGCGTGTCGTGGGACAATGTACAGGAGACTCCTCGAGAACCAGGCTGGCCTGTCGGGCTGAAGAACGTGGGCAACACCTGCTGGTTCAGCGCTGTCATCCAGGTCAGCACAGACAGCAAGATTTCATGAAGTTTCCTGTCATTTTCCATAATAAGATTCATTTGAAGAAATAAATGGTGCACATGCAAAAATGATTCAAACATTGACAACAATGAATCTGATACATGAAGAACTGGAACAGACATAATTGAGATACAGTAAGTTATAAGTTGAAGCTATACTTTTCAGGTTTATGAACCCTTGACATCCATTCTATCATGTAGTTAAACGGGGTATACAACGGGGTCAAGTTTTTAACATTATGTCTTTCTGTTTTGTGTCCTAGTCTTTGTTTCACCTGCCTGTGTTCAGAGACTTAGTCCTGGGATTCCGCTTTTTCCCCAAGGACTGGCCAGCCAACAGCAGGGTAAGTACAAATCTGTAGTTCATGATAAAACATCTATTTTATCACTACACTGTCAGTACTAGATTTCAACATCTCATCACAAGGAATGTCACAGAGAAATTTTCTCTAGCAGGACAAAGAAGTTAAGTGCTCTTGTAACAATTGTTACACCAATACGTACTCTCACATGCATGATAAATCCTGGTCTACGTGAGGAATCAAATTTTCAACAACCACTGTCGCCTTCATCAGGATAATTAATGACCAATCACTTCCAAACCTACTAATTATGTGCAGACACATTTATTAAATGTTTGTAAGATAAAGGTTACAGATGTTGTTCTACATCAAGAGACAAGAAGTGAGTTTTGACTGTTCTGTTGACTTCCTTTTCTTGATTATAGGAGAGCCTGGTGCTGCACTTCATGCAGGAGCTGCGCTGTCTGTTTGCCCGCATGCAGGGCTCCAACAGGAAGTACATCGACCCCACCTGTGTGGTGAAGAGCCTACGGGAACTTATCCCCTTCAGGGCAGGGGAGACACAGCAGGTAGGGTTATGTACTCTTCTTATGCTCCTCTTTTGAATGTAGCTTGGTTAGTTTACTCTTATATTATTATAATGTACAAAGCTAAAATGTCATGATGGTGATAGCAATGAAAATGATTGTTCTGTGTGCGTGCAGGATGTGAGTGAGTTCACCCATAAGTTGTTGGACCTGTTGGAGGAAGCTTTCATCATCGTACAGCGCAGACAGAGCACACAGCCCGGCAGCTCAGCCAGCGCCAACACTTCTGAGAATGGAGGTGACAAGAAGAGTAACCCCATGTTAGACCTGTTCTATGGTCGGATCCAGGCAGAAGGCATGCATGCTGGTAAGTCTGTAACTAGTGTTGTTTTACTGTACTTGTGTACCATTTCTCATGTAAGTTCTGTGTCATCTACTGGCTTTTAATCTCAATGGGGTGGAGGAGTTACAGGAGGGGTGTAGCCGAGGCTTTTACGTTAAGAAAGATCATGAATTTAAGTTGAAGGGCAGTATTCATTTTCTACTAAGGAGTTTGTTAGTAGTTGACACCTTACAGCCAGCACAGATAGATGTGGTGATGTTTCAGGTAAGATGTTCACCAACCAGCAGACAGTGGGGCAGTACACGCTGCAGGTGAACGGCTTCAAGGACCTGCACGAGAGTCTAGAGGGCGCTACTGCACAGGGGGAGATTGAGACAGGCCACGAGGAGGGGGCCACCAAGTCTGGACTAGGAGGTAGCAGTGGTTATCATGTCGGTCGCTGTAACAGTTTGTTGAATACCTTACAGTTTTGTCAGGCATTTTCCAAGCCCCTTGAAAGATATAAAGATTCATTCTTAATACAACAAACAAACAAACAAACAACAGTGATATGCTTTACCAGACTGAGTGTAGTATACTTCATTTTTCAAGAGTATGACTTAAAACTATGGTAGATATTAGTAGATGCTTTTTGCTTTGTAAATCCATTGTCTTCTCTCTATTCACGACTCTGACATTCTGTCTTCTCCCATTTTCATTGTCTTCTGCCAGTTCCTTTCACTTTTTACTAATCCCTTCTGTTCATCTACCTTGTTTTCATTCTTCCATTCCTTTTTCTGTCGCTGTTTAGTCGAGTTCTGGCAACTGTTGGCAAGAGGTACAGTATTCTGCTTTCCTCCACAGAAATGTCTCTAATACTCAATTACTTATCGCAATGAAGGAAGACAGTCACTCGCTGACAATGTTTTATAGTCAGATATGTACCCGCATTTTCCCAATTTCGTCCATCCATCTGCACCATCATAGCAGCACATACAGGAGCCATGATATAAAACCCTTTATTTGCCCCTAATGTATTACATGTTCTCCTGGCTTCTTGCCAGGTAACACAGGGCCAGGCCATTAGCTATTTGTTACATGTGTCATAGCGAGTAGCAGTGACGTAAAATGCAATATTAAATGTACCAAACTTACATTATGAAAGCACAAGTATATAAGATGAAAGCTCAATATTTTAAAAACATCCAACATAGTTGAAACCACTTCATAATGTGAATGTAAATGTAAATAGTCTGATTCACAGTATGTAAAAATTAAGAATTACCTTACAACTACTCTTATGTGTCCCTTCTTGAAATGTATTTTGAGTCTTCTTTCTTTGCTGCATGCACAGCTTGTAAAGACCTTCATGTACTGTACAAATGGCACTCACATGCATTTGTATGCAAAACAGATAGGTGGGTGGGATGGGATGTGGCTGGGAAGACTATAAAAGCCTGGGGCTTCAGTTCTTTGGAGAAAAATTGGGACATATGCCAAGATACAGTAAAACATGTCTCACTGACTGTTCCCAGATAATGTACAGTGAATATGTTTTAGTCCAGCTCATTCAATTTTTTTTTATATGCACTGCACTCCATTCTGAGAAATTATTGAAGAAGAATGCAAAAGTCATGTATGTCAACAATATGTATCAGTAGAGCTTTTTCCAAAACCCACACTTGACTGTGTCTGATGACTGTTTGTGTTTTCTTGCAGCATTGGTTCACACATCTACCACCAGTGTTGACCTTTGAACTGTCCAGATTTGAGTTCAACCAAAAGTTAGGCAAAGCAGAAAAGATTCACCACAAGTTGGAATTTCCCAAGTTTTTGTACATGGACAGGTAAGAGGCATGATCTTTGCTTTCATTCAGTTTAAGGTGAAAAGGATATTCATTGTACAATGCTTTTGATCAGCTTAAAACATGAAGGAATACACTGTGCCCTTAAAACTGGATGATTTCTTTACTCCTTGAAGTGAACACAGTTTGAAATTATCTCTTGCTGTTTTATTACAGATATCTTGTAAAAAATAAGGAGCTGACTAGACTGAAGAGAGAAGAAATGAAAAGTATGAAGGAAGAAATGGATACGCTACAAGCCAAATTGGACAGGTATGATACCAGTATTCTCCACCAGTCGTAAACTTTACACTCTAAGAATGCATGTATCCTGGTCCTGTAGATTTATACATCTTATCTATCTATCTATAGATGCAGCTTATGTATAGATGCAGCTTCGACAGAATGTTTTGTAAAATCATTCATAATTATATATCACTTAGATATGACAAGAAACAAGTTACACTGCTCTTACTGGCCATTATTTTTAGTAATCCTCCTTGTATGGTTGAGTGGGTGGTGATGATACATGTACACTATGTTAAATGGCTGTTGTGCAGATGTGAAAAGAAACTTGATTTTTCTCCCAGTTTCCTGAACTACGGGTCTGGCTACAAACGTCTGCCCTTGCCTGACATTCTGAAGTACACGCTGGAGTTTGCTGAGAAGAGCACAGTTCAGGTGACAGACGGCCAAGTCCAGAGGAGCAACGGCAGTGGCAGCAGTAAGGCAGCTAACGGGAACGGCCATAATGGGTAAACAGGAATATTCAATGACAGTTGTTAAAATTGCATTGTGTATGATATATTCTTGGCAACCCAGGAAAGTTCTTCAAGATTAAATTTGTCCATTGTTGTGACTCAAAGACAATATTTAGCTGAAAACCTATAGCCCTTATTTAAAGACCTGGGCTGGTGGCAAGTTCTGTAGTGTTAGTAATTTAGTCTCCTGAATCTCCAAACTGTAGAAATTAGTTATGTCCCCAGACTGAGTGAATGTTACAAGATTGTATTTAATTTGTTTCAATTTTTTAAAAGCAGTGAGAAGAAGACTACAGATGAAGAGGACGGAAGTTCTGATGACTTTGAGGTGATCTCAGCAGTGCATTCAGCAGACAGCTTGGCCTGCTTGTCCAAGAAGACGTTAGATGCAGTGGCAACCAAGAAAGCTGCGCCTGTGCCCACCTCTGAGGAGATGGCCATCCCCAGTAAAGTTCACATTCCCTGTCCACACCACGTCACTAAGGAGGTGAGTTACATTTGTCATAACCGCTGTATGATTTTGAATTAGCAGAATTTTCCAGCAGGCGTGGACAGAGTCAATTGCAGACAAGGATCAAAGACAGCCTTTTCTGTAACAAGACAACTGGATTTTGTATGACACATGCACCACTATCCCAAGATTGCCCTGTCATCTTCACTAATTCTACAGAATAACAAGCTGACATCATGACACAAGTAGGTTTTGCTGAGATCAGGTCGCTGTCTGTATCTGTACCCTTGATTGTATTTCAAGCGAAGTTCCCATCTCCCCTTGCTGCAGGAGCTTGCTGTTCTGCAGACCTGCTTACGACGTTGGAGACATGAAGCAGAGAAGGAAGTTAAAGGTGGGGAAATGTTACAACTGTTGCCCAGTAAACCACACCTAAAGATGGGTGTGGTTTAACTGGAGTAACTATAATTTATCAATTCTTGTGCACAACCATATCTTTATTCATTGAAACCCTTGTTGAAATTCTTTGAATTCATGTTGTTGTGCTTTCTCTTGCAGGATTGCAAGATAGAATTTTATACTTACAGGCCAAGATTGAAAACTTGTATGAGGATAATTCATTAAAACAGGTAGGCTTTGCTTTGACTCATTGCCTTACTTAATGTAATTTTGATAACAATATTTAGAAATCCATGTCGCTAATTATAGGTGCATCTAATCATCTCAGACAATTGTCTTTCATTATCTGTCACTTCGCTAACTACCTATACTATATAATTGTTTTGCCCTTATACAAATTATTTCTGTCCTTGCCAACAGGTGCCTTACCAGTTACATGCAGTACTAGTCCACGAGGGGCAGGCGTCTGCCGGCCACTACTGGGCGTATGTGCGAGATCACACGCAGAATCGCTGGCTGAAGTTCAACGACGTAACGGTCACAGGAATGTCGTGGGGGGAACTACTGAGAGAGTCAGAGGGGGGGTACCACCATGCCAGTGCCTACTGCCTTATGTACATAGACATCACCAGGAAAGATCTGGTGGAAGGTACGTTGTATGAGATCAGTTTGTGTAATATTGTGTACAACTGCAAGGTGATCTACTGATTATATGCTACAAAACAAAGAAGGCAGAGATGACATATTTTATCCCATTATCCATACTGCTTTGCAACTCTTTCACTCTTACAGACAGCACTGATGATATATGGCAATGCTGCACTGTGTACACAGTCTTCAGAATTGTAGAAATACAAATAAACACAGAGTACATGTAAATACACACACACACACACTCACACACACGTACAAGCCAAGATCTTTGCTCCAATGGGGTTAACTAATGAACCCTACATGTCCATTATTCTCAGTTAAACTGCAGTGGAGCCAGTATGATGAGCTGAAGTTGATGGTTCTTGCGGAAAACGAGAGATTTATTGCTCAGCAGCGTGACCTCGAGAGCAAACAGAGAAGAACGATGGTTGTTAGGGAAGAAGACCCACCCGCCAACCATGGCAGGGGACAGGGCACCACTTCTGAAAGTTCCTCTGGGGAAGTCGCCGACCAACCAATACAAGGTATGTGCTTACATAATTGTTAAAAGCTTTCATCATGGTTTAAGTAAATGCAAGTACTAGTAGTTTGGTGGCCTGTAACACTTTTGGTGGCCGTGTCTATTTCCTGCTCTGTTGATAAATGGCTCACAGCATCCTTTCACAACAATCCTCTTGTAGTATGTTGTTTGAAGTGTTCCTGTTTGCACACAGGGCAGGAGCACCGTGTTGATGTCCAGCGCAAACAGCCTCCCCAGGTCAAACCTAAACCTGTGACTACAGAGACCCAGCAGGGAGTCAGACTAGGGAGGACCTCACAGCAGGTAACACAGGACAGGGGAGGTCTCAGGGCTCTGCATGTTCTATATGGTGATTTACTATGTATAGGTATTACATGTAGATGGGATTAGATTGTGTACAATGGTGCTGATTCTTGGTAAAATGTAGATTTTCAATGTACCATCTTTGATTTGTTCTTGAATGTATTATAGAATACCTTTTTTTGCATAATAAGTATTCTGTTCCTATGTACCCAGTCCACCCCCTTGGACCACAGTGGGCATGTCCTCCAGGCCACAATGAAGACGATCCTGGAAGTGTCCAATATCCAGGAACAACAGGGACCTGAGAAAGCCTTGATTAAGGTTGGTATTTTGAGACCACACCTAATTAATTTGTTACTTCTCAGATTCAAAGTAATGATGCTGGTCTGGAAGATTAACACGAAAACAGAGTCTAGGGATAAAGTATATACCAAGCTTGAAACATACATTTTCAGGAGTGAATATAGTCAGATGCATTTTTTTAGCCCTTTATTTATTTATTTACATCTTCTTGCTTAATTTTTTCCCAAAGATGGCAATAGGACTGACCATAGATTTAGTAAGTCTACATTATTTTGTGTTGACCATAAAGTTTTAAGGACCTGAACATGTCTTCTTAACATATTTCTGTCAAATGCCTTGATTTGCAGGCAGTTAACATTGAGTACCACCGTCTGCGCAGCCTGGTGGAGAAGGGCATCAGCAGACAGTATGACCCGCGGCTGGAGCACTGTGTGGTGTACCTCATCCTGAACGGGGCAGCCAGGGTCATCGTGGAGAGGACTCTGGTGGAGCAGTTTGCAGACAGGGGGTTGTCAGGGGACTCCAAGTAAGGCTCACAGTGTACTCATGACACTATGTCATATCCAAGGAGTCCGTATTAACTGAGCAAGAATCTCAGTTCACAGTACCACCTGGACTGTAGCCTAGATGTAACATAATGACATGACCAGTGGACTAATGCAGTTGCTTCTTCTCCGAGGATTAGAGAATTCTTTTGAGATTATAGATTAGCTTGACTAGTATGCCATTATTTTACCATGATGTTATTTCTATATTCTTCACAAACCACGCAATATACGAATGGAGGTTACCCAAAAGGTATGCTTGAAAACTCATTGGGTCGAATCCCTTGTAGACAAATAAGTACAAGTTAAATGTAATAATCCTGCTATGAAGACATAATTTTATTTATTCTCTATCTATATTTACTTTGTTCATGATGATTGACATTGTAGGTGAAAATTGTGCAAAACCATAGGTCAGTAAATGTGAAATGATATTGATCACTTACTACTCATAGATTAGTAGTGGTGGTGGGATAAAACATTTTGTCCCTCTGTTGTTTGCAGGTCTATTGAGATTATGAAGGTGGCTCAGTCCAAGCTGAAAATCATGCAGTTGAGTGAGGAGAACCTAAAAGCATATGAGGTAGGAGAAAGCACTTTGCTGTTGATTGTACTTTCCTGTTTCCTGTGACTTTCTTTGTTTGCTTGTTTCCTTTTGCCCATCAGCTCTGTTGATGTTTCAACAGGACTAAGTCTTTATTATATCAAGGCATCCTTGGGGCCTCTGATCAGGACTTTTAATGTCTTCTCAGTGTTCATACTCAGCCAGCAGTAAATACAATTTACATAACAAAATGTCCATTCCTGTCATACAATTTTTCTTTCTCAGAAATGGCATGCTGACTACGGACTTTTCCAGAAAACAGTGATGTTTTTGTTACGTGGCATAGAGTTCTTCCATCAAGAGAGGTGAGTGTCCATGTCTTAATTTTTGAGTAGCTTTGAAGAACTCACAAGATCTTTTCTCATTTTTGCAATTTTAGGGAGCCCATCTGAAAATAGAGCCAGCTTTTCAGGTCATCCTCAGATCACATTTATTCTCAGAAATGATGGTAAATTGGAATACCAACATAGAGTATGAGGGAGAAGTCTGACAGTTTCTGGCAGTGAATATAATCAGATTCTTCCCAAACCTCTTTTTCCATCTTGTCTTTTGCAATTGAAGTGTTCAAGTACTCGAGGGCACAATTTTGAGTAGCCCTATAGTCCAACTTGTACTGCTTGCATCCCCTACATTACTTGTAGTTCATTCCTGGCCCCACCTGACAGTCTAAGGTTCTTCCCTTCCAGGTTCCCGGAGGCCCTGACGTACCTGGTCCATGCCTGGACGTACAACCAGCAGCTACTGGGGGAGGGCAAGAACTACATCATGGCAGCTGACTCTTCCCTCATCACTCACTACAGGACACAGTGCCTTAAGGTACCCTTCCCCACATGCCTGATTCTGGTAACAATTGTAAAGAAAAGGGATCCTACCCACTATGCCACAATGAAGTAGGAGCTCTCAGAGATATAACAGCCCTTGCTTAATAAGAAACATGTCTTTGTCTAGAATTAGGATTTCAGATACATTGTTATATTTCTGGCTCCCCCAGTCCTTGTTTAACAGATGTTTGAAAGCAAAGGGATTCTTATTATGATTAAGACAAGCCCTGGACAGAAGAGAGTGGAAAGCAGTGGTGGCCCATATTATCAACAGATGAGAGTGGCAATGATGATGATTATGTAGAGTGCTTAAGTCCATGTTTTCCCCCAGTCCCTGAGCGAGCAGGCCTGCAGCCTGTTTGAGAGTGGAGACACAGAGAGCGTGGATGAAGGTCTGCAGCTGATGGTGGAGCTGGTGGTGCCATGCATGGCCCTGCTGCAGGAGCTGGGTGGCACTGACAGCGACCAGGCCATCGCTGAGGAGATCCGCAGTAACTGGTGCGACTACCTGGGACAGGACCTGCCGGGTGAGTTAGTCTCAACCTCACACCAGCTCTGCTCATGGGTTAGGTAAATATGAGCAGAACTAAAAATTATGGCCTATGCTAATGACAATGTACCCTAAATCTGTGTAGCTGGTTGTCAAATGTGCTCAAGGTATGACTGTGATGCAGACATGTGTCATCCTGACAGGAGTTCCAGATCCAGATAAGACTGAAACTTGTAGTCACAGCCTTGTGTTCTGTATCCTCTCTGCCCAGACTGGTGCCAGGAGAAGCTGCAGGATTTCCTGCCGCAGCTGTTGGACTGTTCGGGGGACCTGCAGCAGCTGCGGACTCCACCTGCGGTCTGGCCGTCACAGCACCTGGCAGAGTGGTTCAGTACTGTCATGCAGGCAGTGGTGCTGGCGGAACCAGACACTGTGGACTGAGACAGGCTGATCTACGCCACACCAGTGGATTACCTGGGTTCTTGGAATGTTCAATGTGAAGAATGAAGCAAGTGGACAACATGAAAACAGAATACTGGAAGGAAGACCCGAGTACTCAATCCCTGTAACTGTGTGGCACTTGAAAGCCAAGACCCAAGAACTTGAATCAGTGTAGACAGTGTAGATCTCTACTCTACCACATGTCAGTTTTAAAATGGACTGTAAAGAATAAGTTTAATTTGGGGGAATTGCAACCTTAAATTCTTGTTTCTAGTGAGCCAAACAACAACATCTTGTATATGTTCTCATTGCAAACTGACATTATATCATAACCATCTGAACAAAACCTGTATGGAGTATTAAATTATGTGTATAGCTATTGTTTCATAGTTATCTTTCCAAAATTGAATCCTGCAATGGACAGTATGACTTACCAGTACTGTTTTTGTTTTTTAAGAGGGTACGGGTATACAAATGCATGTAGGATACCAGTGGAGGGCTGGGTCTGCATTTGTGTGGTAGAATATATTCTCACCGAGAGATATGTGTTAATGTTAGATAGATCATGACAATGCAAGTGAAAAGGACAAGACTGCAATAGTTTGTTATTTCTAGTGCACATACAAGTGTACAGGCCAGTAAGATATATCTCTGTGCAAAATGTGACATTGTAGTTTTTATACAGAATACAAGTTGGAGGAATAAAAATTCACCATAGAGATATGTATCATGCTAGGCATTACCCATGCAATTTTCTATAAGACAGGGTATTCTGTAGTGCAAGGAAAGAAATATTTGATGATCTACAATATATCATCATTAATATGTGCCTTGTTCCCTAGAAGATTAATGTTCAGGACTAAAGCCAACCACTTTTACAAGTGATGCACCATTAACACTCATTGGAATCAGACATAAACAGTGATGATTAACTTTTATCATGCTAAGGCTTCCCTCTTGCATTTCATTTGTATGTACTGGTATGCTGGCATGTCTGGGTGTCAAAGGATAGAAAGGGAAACCTGTGGCAATCCCGGCAAGTATTATAATGTTATAAAGTCAACAACAGATACAATGATGTGTCTGTTGGGTGCCTACAGGCAAAAAAGGACAAGAATTCCATGACTTTGTACAGAGCAACCTGTTCTGCCTCTGTTGTTTAGAAGTAAGTGTAATCATTGCATTTTAGTTTGATTTGTCTGTTATAAGTGGTGTCATTTTTATCAGAAGACATTAAGTTATGGTGGCAAGTCTTCCAGTGATTATCATCAACAATGTACAAGAATGCAACACAATTTGCAAGAAAAGCACTAGGTTGTAAATTTTGTACTCCATTTGCTCCTGTGGATGCACAAGATATTACGATCAGTAGTTTCTTTATATCACTGGGCAGTTTTCTGAACCATGTGATCAGTCTCCTGTATCTCAGTTTTACTGTCCTGCAGTTACATATCAGTAAATATAGTATAACGTGACTGATGCCTTTCTTGTTCGAAATGCAAGAAGTCTTCCACAAGAGAGAATCTTTAGTTTGTGAAAAGAGCTGTATTGTCTTCATCAAAGTAGCAAAACAGATCTAGACTCATTGTAATTGTATGCGACTATTGATTCTAATTTAAAGACTGGAAAGTTCTATCATCCAAAGAAGGGAAGTGCTTACATTTTGAACCAGCAGAATAAGTAACCTTCAAAATAGAATATATTGTGGTTGTAACTTTATAACTTCAATCAGATCATGCAATTTTTCTTCTGCAATGCTGCATTTATGTAAACTTTGACTTTGTGAGATGTTTATTTGTTTATTTCATGTCATTTTCCTGACGCTATGTTTGGTATCTATCATTTTCTATTTCTCTCCATCCTCCTCTCATGTCCTTATTACAATGAGAACTCCCCTCATGTTAAGTTTGACACAATCATTTAGGAATGAGCCATATTCTGTATTTTCTTATTTAGTAGATTTTGTTATTGAATACTGTTGGTTGCACTTTATGTTATTTATTTTGTGTTTTATAGTTATATCTGTACAGATAGCTTGCCAGTAAGGCACTACTGAACTTACTGAGATTCAGAAATAAAACAGTCGTTACTCTTCTTGTTCATTTGAAGCTATAAATCGTTTGTTTTCATCAGTAAATGTTTGCTACGTTTTCTACTTGTGATAAACAATTTGCAATTGGGTAAATGCATCCCTTGTATACTGAGAGTTGTGATCTACCGACCTTAACCTCCAGTGACCTGTGATCGATCATCAACACGCTGCGTGTTGGCCACGTGGACAGGACAAAGTTCACCCGCTCAGAACCTCACGTGGACTTGGCGTGGTCTATACGACTTTGAAGTTCAAAAGTATACTAGTGCAAGAAAGGGGATTGGCAGATTGAGTGACTTACGAAAAGCAACTGTTGTCATAACAAAAAAGACAGAAAAGTAACCAGGACGGGACTTTCCATGAATATCTATCGATACCCTGTTTCTTTCTCTCTCTCTCTGGTCCAAGATGATTCGACTCTAGAAATGTCCCAATTGGGGTTGTCCTGTGTGCAAGCGGAGATTGGGACGGCTGTGCGGATGACGCAATGTTGTTTTCGCACAGGGCGGATTCAGCCGGTTGTTGACCGCCGCGGAGTTTGCGCTGAGTTCAGCGCTTCCACGTAGGTCAGGCTGAGCTGACTCAGTAAATATCGCCGAGTTAAACATTAGTGCACTCGGATGCTGCGATTGCATGCACACAAGGTTATCCAAAGCTTACCTAGTCACAACTAGGCCAACCTAGTCAGTCGCTAGATTCAAGTAGATTTAACGTAACGGCTCCGTCTTGCCGTGCGTCGCTGCTTAGAGACTACCGGGTCGCTTGCCTTACACGGTACCGTGTGAGCGTCCTTTCGCTGGGAGCTGTGCCTTTGTCTTGGACCATAGTACAACCTGATTACATCACTCATCAGCGTGTTGAGGTAAGTTGAGGGTCAGGGCAGTTCGCACCACGACTAGCAGCTAGTATCACGGTATCGGCCTTCACGCTGCCTGATGGTCAGTGGCGTCCTGGCCCAAGGCAGGTCAAAGAGTCCACAGCGCATTCTGATTTTCCCATCGGTATTGAGGACGGCATACTCAAGTACGGGAGGTCATACATGTAGGACAACCATCGCCTCAGGACGCCTTTGACTCAACAGGTGGTCACTGGACACGACTTCCAGTGTGATAAATAATTATTCATTAGCGTGACATCATGCATTATAGATAGATATATATTCAGCATATTTTAGATGGGCAATAGTTGGGCGAAAATGGTAGTCGCACAATTAGGATATCACTTTTTAATTGTTTTGTTACTTGTGTTTTATTGTCAATCATTATTAATAAACCTGATCTATGAGAAATTATAACGAATGTGACAGTTTCAAGTTGGGGCGAGTGCTTCTGTCATACCAGAGAAAAACTGCCCGGCTTGGCCTTGGTTTGTACAATCAAGAACGTTCAATCCTGGACACGTATTGGGCTGAATTATTAACTAACTTGCGATCCCGGGGTTAGGGGATGTATTTGCACAGGGGCAAACATTCTGTGGTTTCCCATTATAAACAGGCAGTCCGCTGCACTAGGGAAGTAGAATATATTCTAGACGTTCACTGACTGTGTAACACGTAAGGGACAACTTGGTGGTGATATCTTATGATATTATTTACACGGATTGAAATTGTATCACATTTTTTTGACTTAATGTTAATCTGGTAGCATATGTTGTCCTTTATCTCTGAAATCATGGTTTCCGTTTAATCTCCAAGCATATCTTGGAAAAAAAATTGAATAGATGTCTTTTCTTTCATACAGCCAGCTGGTGTTAAAACAAAACGACGACATCATGCCCCGGCTATCGCCCAGACGTGTGGTGACCGGCGTCACTCTCCTGATCGTCGCGTCCCTCGGAGTGTCACTGCTGTCTGGGGACGACTCCCAGGCGGCGCAGGTGTATGCCGCAAAACGGTCACATCCACGGGCTAGAGCTATGGACGTGATGAGAGGCAGAGAACAGGGGCACGTCATACAGAAGAGAAAAGCGCCCAAACAGCCAGATCCCCCAGCGGTAGACAGGAAACTTAATGCGGTCTTGCCTAAAAGAGAGGACGAAGAAAAGCAGAAGTCTCAAGACCATATCCCCAACACCGTTCACTTTTTCTGGTTAACGGATCAGGAGTTCGGCTTCCACCACTTACTCAGCGTGCTGAGTGCGCACAAGCTGTTAGAAGCGGAGAAAATCATGTTCCATACCGCGGCTAAACCAAAGGGGCGATGGTGGAAGGAAGCGGAGGCTATCTCCACGCTCAGTCTGGTTCCATGGGGCTCCGATGTCCCAGAGGAAGTGTCCCGGCAGATGGAGGTTCGCGCCCGGCTAGAGGCGCTCATGCAGCACGGCGGGATGTACCTCGGCACGGACACCATCGCCCTCCGCCCGTTCGGCGAGCTGCGTCGTCTCGACTGCGTCATGGGAAGAACTGGCGACGGTCTGAGCGACCAAGTCCTACTGGCTAGCCAAGACGCCAGTTTCTTGAAGACGTGGTACAAGACGCTCCTTCAGGGAAAGTTCAAGGAGGCGATCGAGGTAGCGGCGAAGCAGCCTGACCTCCTGCATGTGGAAGATACGAGGCTGACCAGACCGAGGTGGACCGATTGGTGGGACCTCTCCAACTTGTACCGCGAGGGGGAAACCGTGGACTTCTCCGACAGCTACGCCATCCAGCTCGCGTACGACCGCTACAACCTCGGCCACACGCCCGACAGCATCCTGACGTTAGACTCGACGTTCGGCAGGATAGCTCGGACAGTTTACCACGGCGCACCGGATCTAAAAAAGAGCGAGAAGAAGGTCGCCGAGCCGAACACAAACGCCGTCGTGCCAAACATCGTTCACTACCTGTGGTTCGGAGAGAAAGATTTTCAGCTCCATAACTTGATCAGCATGATGAGTGTACGGCAACAACTGAAGGCCCAGATCATGTTCCACACAGACGGAGAGCCGGAGGGCCGCTACTGGGCCGAAGCCAAGCTGATCGACGAGCTGACCGTCGTGGAACGCGCGGCGCCGAACGCGACTCTTGGTGAGACGGTGGAAGACGACATTCTGCAGATCTTACGCGAGGACGGAGGTATCTACCTGGACGCTGACGTCGTCGTCGTCAAACCTTTTGAGACCCTGATGAAGTATGACGTCACGATGGGCCGGTCCCCGCGCGGGCTCAGCTTCAGCACCATCATCGCTAAGAAGAAGGCCTACTTCATCCAGAAACTACAGAAGATGAGGAAGACTCAGTCTACGGAAAGCAGATGGGAAGAGCTGGCATTAGACGCAGCCGTGGACAGACCTGACCTAGTCCACCTGGAAGACAATGCTCTGTCTAGACCATGCCTTAGCGACTGGAAGGACCCGTCCCTTCTCTTTGTCGAGAACGACTCCGGCTGGTCCGATAACTTCGCCATCAAGCTGTTCTACGATCTGTACGCTCAGGGCCACAGTCAGTACGACATCGTCAACCTGCGCACGACGTTCGGGCAGATCGCGCGGTCCGTGTACTACGGCTCCCCTCGCCTCATCACGGACGGGTCGCAGCCGCACCTCTACCCCCGGGACGACTACGTGGTGCCAAACCTGGTCCACTACGTGTGGCTCACGTGTCACGACTTCCGCTTCCACCACCTACTCAGCGTGCTCAGCGCGCACCGCTACATCAAGCCTGACCACATCTACATCCACTCCGACTGCGCGCCCAGCGGACACAACTGGGATGTGGCAAAGGTACATGGTGGTTCTGTTAGCACGATAAAGTACGGAGACTTCCACATGGTCTCATACATTTCTTAAAAGATAGATAACTTTGAAAACAGAGAATAGTGAATCTAACATATTGGCATGATCTATGCATGTGATTGGGTACAGAAATCTACGTCCATATATAGCACGAGGTGAGCTCCTAAGCGCTTAACTTACTAGTATGTAAACTCATTTCAATCATGTATAATCGGTTTTGCGTGATTTCTAACATCTATTTCATTTGTGTGTATTAAGGAGAAAATCGGGGCGACCCTGGAGGTGGTTCCTGCCGTACAACCGGAAGAAATCTTCGGCAACCCCATCCACAACATCCCGCACAGGTCGGACATCACGCGCATGGAGGTCCTCATGAAGCAGGGCGGCATCTACCTGGACTGGGACGTCTTCGCCTTCAAGTCGTTTGACCCACTGCGAAGGTACGACTACGTCATGGGGAACGAGATTGCCGGACTGAACAACGGTGTCATCCTGTCCAAACCAAACGCAGAGTTCCTTAGAATTTGGTGAGTATCTGGAAATCAATCCTAGGTTAGCTAGGGATTTCCCAAATCTTTAATGTTCCCTTTTCAGTGAACAAGTATTGAACTTTTAAGTTAATCTTTTATAGCGATTACAACTACATGTACACATGTATTAGCAATTTCACAATGGTACTTGGTATGAAGCCCTGGCACCTCACAACCATTGTCTGGAAATATGTACAAGTAATCATATGCAACTAAAATGTATTTCACCAAAAGGTACGACAACTACAGACACTTTGATGATGGCAAGTGGAACTTCCACTCAGTGATGGAGCCGTGGCGGCTGGCCTACGAGCACCCCAACCTGATCCACATGGAGCTGACGAGCCTGTCCCGCCCTGACTGGACAGACTGGTGGGACATGAAGCGCATCTGGAACGAAGACGTGCTGGAGGACTGGTCCGAGGCGTACGCCATCCACTTCATCTACTCATACCACAACGAGGTGGGCATCCTTCAGCTTTACTACTGACAAGTTTCCTTTGTCTAACGTGTTTTGTAAAAAGCAAGTATTTTGTAAGCCAACAGTCAAGTATGGGGCATAGAGGATAAGGATTTTACTATTCAATAGAGAAAAGAAAGAATTCAACTGGTGAGGCAGGATGGGAATAATAGTGGACAGTCAAAACTGCAAATCTCTGATCAATGCTACATGTGTAGCATGTAAGTAAAAACTCAAATGGTACTGACGGAAAAAAATTTCTATTTTGTAAATTAATCAATACCAAAAGAGAGAACAATGAATGCAAGAAAATAATTGTATGGAGAAAATCTTTCTACGGTTAAAGATTCAATGTTTGTAACCTTCTTCCCTTCAGGAACACAACCCTGAGGATATCAAGAGGATGAGAGGAACCTTTGGAGAGATGGCCAGATGGGTTTACTACGGGCAGAAAGAGTTTATACAGGATTAATGACAGTCTAATTTAAAGAAAAAATTATGTTGTTTTCTTATGTGCCATATCGTAAAAAAATATTGAGAAAATGACATTTAAACAGCCTATAGAATAAGGATTTTGTCAATCTTTATTTAAGTTTGTGTTCAACAAATTTCTATGTGCAAAACAAAAAAGTATTACTGAAAATGACTATTATTTACCTGCCTGTCTCAATATGTAATTTGTTTCAGTTCATATCAATAAGATTCTTATTTGTTGCATTAACTATTATGGTTGTAACTTGTAAAATGTTGAGGACTACCGATACATTTATAGTTTATGGAATGTGGAAATGAATTTCTATGAACTCTATACCATATCTGAGAATTATTGAAAAATCAGATGATGTGGGGAAAAATCTGGTCAAAATGTTGCTGGTTTATTTACAAGTTTCTCAAATTAACAAAACATCACAGAAGAGATGACAAATGCAGTTAAGTAGTTCCTTGAGGTTAACTGAGGTCATTCCCCATCTATCAAAACNCCATACCTATCATATGGCTCACTGTATGTTACATATATACATTTTAGGACA